GAGTTAGTGTGAGCTAGCTCACAGATTTTTAGCCTCCGGCTCACACATTTTTGTCTCAGCTCAGGAAGGCTGGCTCCAGAGCAAACTAATTTATGCAGCAGCCAAATCGCTCGCTCACACCTTTAATGACAGTAGCTCACAAAGTAGAATTTCTGCTCACAAGACTCCACAGCTTAGAGGGAACATTGGTGGACTCTAATCTGGGAGAACTGGGTTTGATTCCCCACTCCTCCACTTCCAGCTGCTGAATGACCTTGGAAGAGCAGCAGCCAGAGCCAGTTTGGTGTCTTGGTTTAAGTGCGTGGACTCTAATCTGGGAGAACTGGGTTTGATTCCCCACTCCTCCACTTCCAGCTGCTGGATGACCTTGGGTCAGTCAAAGTTCTCTCTGAGCTGTTCTCTCAAGGGCTCTGTCAGCCCCGCCTACCTCCCAGGGTGTCTGATGTGGGGAGGGGAAGGAAAGGGGGTTTGTAAGTGAGTGAAAGGCAGGGTATAAGTCCAGTCTCCTCCAATGCTCCCTCTAAGCTGTGGAATCTTGTGAGCAAAATTTCTACTTGGTGAGCCACTGGCATTAAAGTTGTGAGCGAACGGTTTGGCTGCTGCATAAATTAGTTTGCTCTGGAGCCATCCTTCCTTTGTTGTTGTTGTTGTAAGGTTTATTTACTTATTTTCCAAAATAAACATACAAAATATCAATTCCTAATACAAAGTATCCTTTGGAGATTCTTTACACATTTGTATCTATCCATCTAATTTCTGCCATCTTTTTAAAAACAAACTTTCATCTTTTGCCAGTAGTATCATATTAAGTTTATCCATTTCTTTAATTTCCATAATTTTTGTAATCAACTCTTCTCTATCTGGAATTTTTTCTGATTTCCAGCATTTCGCTAGGAGAATTCTAGCGCTAGTAAGAATATACAGTATCACACATAGATCGTTATATTTAATCTCTTGGAGCCCTCCTTCCTGAGCTAAGACAAAAATGTGTGAGCTGGAGGCTAAAAAACTGTGAGCTGGCTCACGCTAACTCAGCTTAGAGGGAACACTGGTCTCCTCCTCTTCCTCTTCTCTCACACTGCCTGTTCTAAAAGAGAGTCCTCTCCACTGTGGACTCACCTTTTGGTCCTGCAGCACCATTCCATGGGCCTGCAATGAGAGGCAGGCATCCTTCCTTTCTGTGAATGCGTAGTAAACAGCAGGGCCTTGCAGGATGCATCCCCACAATGGCAGCGTTGTAAGGATCCGGGGCAGTGCAGGTGCACATCTCTGTGACCCACCAGAGAGGACCCTGACCCACGTGCTACCTTGGGCTGATCCTGGCGTGCGCTGGCCATGCGGTTCTTGATCGGAGGAAGTTGCAGGAGCCGGGAGTGAGCCAATGCCAGTGAGATGCTGGTTGGAGACCCCTCGCGGGCCAAGCGGGCAGCCCTGGGTCCTCATGGAAGTTTCCAAAGAAAGGGTCAAGAGGGAGGCTTGAGGGACCAGTGGAGGCCTTGGTGATAGGAGAGCTAGTCTGCAAAGGCCTTTTGATTCGGAAGCCGCAAGTCCAGTAATCGTCGGTCTCAGTCATTTCGAGCTCACCCTTGTGGGGTTGGCTAAGCCGCCCTGCGCTCAATCAATCAGGTAATTAATAATTATCATATGGCATTGTGTGTGGTATAGCCAGGAGATCCTAAGATTGTCTGGCAGCCAGAAGTTCTAGCTCTTTTATTTATTTATTTATGTATTTATTTCTTAAATTGGATTTACTAGGCCGCCCTTCCCTAAAAGTAGGGCTCAGGGTGGCTTACAACAGGGTAGTATACATTCTAAAAAAAACCCTAAATTAAAACAGTCCAGTACATACTAGTAGGTTAAAAAAAAAGTGTATATGCAATATATAAATCCTAACTCCCCAGTCTCCCCTGGGGGGGAGGGGTTATAAGCAGGGGTCATTTCGTAGAAAAAGAGGTGCAGAAGCTCATTAGCATAACTCATTAGCATAACTTATTTGCATATGCCACACATCCTGACATCACCGGAAGTGTGTCAGAAGGCAACTCAGGCTCCACTGGACTGTTTTGGATTGCTAGCTATTGAGGGGGGGGACGTGCAGATCTGTTCTGGCAGAGGAGGGAGAGCTTGTACCTGAATAAAACCTGGTCTTAAAGGTGCCACTGGACTGTTTTGGACCGGGGGATGGGGGGAGCTCTGCAATTTACCTGGCTGCTTCTTGCTCTGACTGAGGGCTGCTGTGAGCAGGGGGTGGGGCTTGTTGCATGTGCCCGCCCCCTGGGCTCCTTACTGCCGGAGCTCCGCTCCTGTGCGCTCCTGCAGGAAATGGCTCTGCAACTTACCTGGCTGCTTCTTGCTCTGACTGAGGGCTGCTGGGAGCAGGGGGTGGGGCTTGTTGCATGTGCCCGCCCCCTGGGCGCTTTACTGCCGGAGCTCCGCTCCTGTGCGCTCCTGCAGGAAATGACCCCTGGATAAGGGATGGGGAGACTGGGGAGTTTAGCGTTGTACACCACTAGGTGGAGAGCTGGAGTTGATTTTTAGGCAAGAGATGTTCAGAGGTGGTTTGCTGCTGCCTGCCCCTGTGTCTTTGTTCCCTCTAAGCTGAGTTAGTGTGAGCTAGCTCACAGTTTTTTAGCCTCTGGCTCACACATTTCTGTCGGAGCTCAGGAAGGAGGGCTCCAGAGCAAACTAATTGATGCAGCAGCCAAATCGTTCTCTCACAACTTTAATGCCAGTAGCTCACAAGGTAGAATTTCTGCTCACAAGACTCCACAGCTTAGAGGGAGCATTGGACTCCTTGGAGGTCACACTTCCAAATACTAAGCAGGACCAACCATGCTTAGCTTCCAAGATCTGACGAGATTGAGTCAGCCTGGCCTACGCAGGTCAGGGCAACCAATCGAGTGGTAAGCAGACACCAACATGAGAGGAGAGGAGGTCATCGCAGTCTCGCTAGCTGGCGCTCAGTATTGGAAAGGTGCCATTTTCCTTATTTCATTCATACCCTGCCTTTCTGCCCAGTGGGGGACCCAAAGCAGCTTACCGTAGGGGTGGCCAAACTGTGGCTCGGGAGCTGCATGCGGCCCTTTCAGACATATTGTGCGGCTCCCGGCAGGGCGGCTGGGGAAGCTGAATATCCTTAGCAGACAAATATCATTGGACAAATAAATATCATTATCAACTTCTGCTTTTACCGCTTTTGTTATTATGTTTGACAGTCTCGTTTAATGTGAATAAAAAGCAAATTTGCACATTTCCCGGTAAAAACGTGTCATATTTGTTCATGTCTTGCGGCTCTCAAAACATCTGACGTTTATTCTGTGTGGCTCTTACGTCAAGCAAGTTTGGCCTCCCCTGGCTTACATCGTTTTCCTCTTCTCCGTTTTGCCCTCACAACAGCCCTGTGAGGTAGGCTAGGCTGAAAGTGTGTGACTGGCCCAAGGGCAGCCGGCAAGTTTCCATGGTCGAGTAGGGATTTGAACCCAGGTGTCCGGGATCTAGTCTGGCACTCTAACCACCACACCAAGCTGGCTCGCCACTTTGTGGTCCCCGCACAGTGGTGGATGGGAAATCCACCTGGGACCTGCTCGCTGGGCGGTCGGGCAGCTGTGGTATTTTAACTCTTCGTAACCTGCCTTTTCTCCCGGTTGGGACCCAGAGTGGCTTACGACATTGTTCTCCTCTCCTCCAGTTCACCCTCACAACAACCCTGCGAGGTAATAATTATCGTATGGCAGTGTGTGTCGCATAGCCAGGAGATTATTTATTTATTTTATTCTATTTTTCCAATTTATACCCAGCCAAGGCAGCTTACACAAGGTAAACACACAAATAACGATCAAATTACCATAAAACATCTAAAAGCAGTTCATTCGAACAATACAATATTAATATTGAAGTGCTCGCAGCATATCATAAAGATGGCGGTACCACATGAGAGCAAACCATGGTTGTGCAAATGTTCAGCTCGCTGACCTTCTCAGATATAATTGGCGGGCGCAGGCTGTCAGTAGCTAACCAAGGGCCAGGCTCTATAAGTTTCCATTGTTGTTGATAATGGTGGCGGCTCCTGGTTGAAGGCCTGGTGGAAGAGCTCCGTCTTGCAGGCCCTGTGGAACTGTAAAAGGTCCCGCGGGGCCCTGATCTCTTCCGGGAGCTCATTCCACCAGTATGGAGCCACCACCAAAAAAGCCCTGGCCCTGGTTGCAGCCAGCCTGGCATCCTTGGGGCCTGGGAGGGCCAATCAGTTTTGTGACCCTGCCCGTTTTATCCTAAGATTGTCTGGCAGCCAGAAGGTCTAGCTCTATTTTTAGAGTTATGAACCACGAGGTGGCGAGCTAGACTTGTTTATAAGGCAAGAGATGTTTCAGAGGTGGCTTGCCATTGCCTGTGTGTAGTATAGCCAAGAGATCCTAAGATTGTCTGGCAGCCAGAAGTTCTAGCTCTTTTTTTTAGCGTTATGCACCACTTAGGTGGCGAGCTAGACTTGTTTATAAGGGAAGAGACGTTTCAGAGGTGGTTTGCCATTGCCTGCCTCTGCGTATTCCTTGAAGGTCGTCCTTCCAAATACCAGGCAGGGCCGACCCTATGAGGTAGGTTAGGCTGAGAGAGAGTGACTGGTCCAAGGTCACTCAGTGAGTTCTGTGGCAGAGCGGAGATTCAAACCTATTTCTCCCAGATCATAGGCTGCAAACTGATTTATGCAGTGGCCAAATCGCCTGCTCATAACTTTAAGGCCATTAGCTCAGAAAGTTCACCCTCACAACAACCCTGTGAGGTAATAGTTATCGTATGGCAGTCTGTATCGCACAGCCAGGAGATTATTTATTTATTTTATTCTATTTTTTTCCAATTTATACCCCTCCCTCCCCACCAAGGCAGGCTCAGGGCGGCTTACACAAGGTAAATTCACAAATAACGATTAAATTACCATAAAACATCTAAAAGCAGTTCATTAGAACAATAGAATATTAATATTAAAGTGCTAGCAGCATATCATAAAGATGGCGGTACCACATGAGAGCAAACCATGGTTGTGTAAATGTTCGGCTCGCTGACCTTCTCAGATATAATCGGCGGGCGCAGGCTGTCAGTAGCTAACCGAGGGCCAGGCTCTATAAGTTTCCATTGTTATTGATAATGGTGGCGGCTCCTGGTTGAAAGCCTGGTGGAGGAGCTCCGTCTTGCAGGCCCTGCGGAACTGTAAAAGGGGCTCTGCAGCGGGAGCTTTGCCCCCGGATCCGGCTGGAGCGTGTTCAAGAGCTGCTGGAGAAGCAGCGGGCCCTTCAGCAGGTGCTCAGCCTGCGCCTGAAGGAACTGCGCCGGGTGTGCCTGCAAGAAGCGGTGAGGCCTGGCGGCAGGGGCGAGGGGCTGGACGTGGGCGGCCGAGGAAGGGGGGCGCTAGTTCTGGGTGAGGGTGAGGAGCCGCTGCCGATCCCGGAGACCTTCAGGCGAGCCGAGTCAAAATAATACTTAGCTGAGACAGCCCTGTGTTCAAAACATCATCTTGCTGTCACGCAATGTTCCCTCTAAGATGAGTTAGTGTGAGCTAGCTCACTTTTTAAAGCCACCAGCTCAGACATTTTTGCCCTCGCTCAGGAAGGGATGGCTCTAGAGCCAACTAATTGATGCAGCCGCCAAATCGCTCGCTCACAACTTTAATCCCAGTAGCTCACAAAGCAGAATTTTTGCTCACAAGACTCCCCAGTTTAGAGGGAGCATTACTGTCAGGTCACTGTTAATGTCCCTGTTTTGCAGATAGAGTGGGTGGGAGGGGATGAGGCTTAGAGACGGCTTAACATCGCCCACTCACTCCTTGGCCGAGGCCTGTTTCGAGCACGGGACTTCCTGCCTGAGCAGCACAGCCATCAGCTGCTAATCTGACACCACCTAGTAAATCCTAAGATTCCTTCTTATAATTAGGCATGTTTCTCGCATTCATTCATAGTCTTTGTTTCCGCCTTTCCTCCAAGGAGCTGAGGGTGGCAGGATCCTGTTTTTCCCCTTCACAACAATCCTCTGAGGTTGGTTAGGCAGAAACTGAACTCTTGCCCCAAGGGTCATGTCCGTGAATTTCATGGCCTTAGTGGGGCTTGGAACCCAAGTCTCCACAGTTTGAGGGCAGCACCCTAAGCGCTACACCCCCTACGGCAGTGTACACCCCAAACCTTTTGACCCTGCGGGCATCTTTGGAGGAATGCTGACTCAGCATGGGGAGTGCAGCCACAAAATGGCTGCCTCAAGAGAGGCAGAAGTCAGCCACAAAATGGCTGCCGCAGCTTACCTTTAGTCACACAGTGAAGGTCCTTCTGCTGTGGTGACAGCTGCTGCCAGGGCAGTGTTTCTAAAAATCTACACAGCCAATCCCACCTGGCCCTGCTGGCTTTCTAAAAACACTTGGCAGGAAAGGTAAAAGGCACCAGGAAATGTGTTGGTTGACACCGTGGCGAGAACACAGGCCCTATAAATTCTCACAAGCATATTTACAGTCTGTTTACAGTAGGGTATAAAATCTGGCAGTGAGGAGACAGCCTGAATGGGGAGGAATTTGGAAAGCAGGCAACTGTTCTCCCTTGACCAAAGCACAAGGGGCCAAAGAAACCGATGAAGTACCTTGGGAAGAACCTTGTGGACCCTCTAGCTCTGACTTTGATTGCCACACAGGTGTTTTTTGGACCTTAACTGGAAGATGTTCTAATACAGCAACTGTGGAATTGGCACCAGACACATGACTTTCACCTTTTGAGGCCTCACAAACATCTTTGTCGTGTGTCTTTAGATTTTGCTGCTTAACCGTCCTCTTCCTGGTCCATTATTCACTTATTGGTTATCTTATTGCAATATGTATTTAAGTTACGTGTACCTCAATATCGTTTGACCTCTGAAGAAGGCCCCAATAGGGCAGAAACGCGTCAGGTCATGTGTACTTGCCCTCGTGTTTAGGCTATAGTTTTTTTACGAGGCTTTCATTGGGCCCTTATGTATGTTTTTAACTGTCTTTCTAATAAACACTTGTATTTTTGGATGTTATAAGTTTTAACTAGGTTTTTAATATTGGCCCTTCATTAGACTTTCTTCTCACCCTTTTTGTACCTTGGGAAGAACCTTTCAGAATGTTGGTGCCACTGTTGAGAAGGCCCTGCATATGAATCTGAGAATTTCGGGAGGAGCCTGTGAGAGGAGGCCCTCCGTGAAGGGTTCGGGGCCCAACCCACATTGGGTTTTGATGGCGCTTGCCAACACCATGAATTGAGTGTGAGTCTCCGGGGAAACTGAGTCTGGCTCACCCACGTCTTGGGCCTCTGCGGATCCTTACCGGTCCGATCTGTGCTTTTCTTCCCCCTCCGCAGAGGCTCTGCAGCGGGAGCTTTGCCCCCGGATCCGGCTGGAGCGGGTTCAAGAGCTGCTGGAGAAGCAGCGGGCCCTTCAGCAGGTGCTCAGCCTGCGCCTGAAGGAACTGCGCCGGGTGTGCCTGCAAGAAGCGGTGAGGCCTGGCGGCAGGGGCGAGGGGCTGGACGTGGGCGGCCGAGGAAGGGGGGCGCTAGTCCTGGGCGAGGGCGAGGAGCCGCTGCCGAACCCGGAGACCTTCAGGCGAGCCGAGTCAAAATAATACTTAGCTGAGACAGCCCTGTGTTCAAAACATCCTCTTGCTGTCACGCAATGTTCCCTCGAAGCTGAGTTAGTGTGAGCTAGCTTACTTTTTAAAGCCACCGGCTCAGACATTTTTGCCCTCGCTCAGGAAGGGATGGCTCTAGAGCCAACTAATTGATGCAGCCGCCAAATCGCTCGCTCACAACTTTAATCCCAGTAGCTCACAAAGCAGAATTTTTGCTCACAAGACTCCCCAGTTTAGAGGGAGCATTACTGTCAGGTCACTGTTAATGTCCCTGTTTTGCAGATAGAGTGGGTGGGAGGGGATGAGGCTTAGAGACGGCTTAACATCGCCCACTCACTCCTTGGCCGAGGCCTGTTTCGAGCACGGGACTTCCTGCCTGAGCAGCACAGCCATCAGCTGCTAATCTGACACCACCTAGTAAATCCTAAGATTCCTTCTTATAATTAGGCATGTTTCTCTCATTCATTCATAGTCTTTGTTTCCGCCTTTCCTCCAAGGAGCCGAAGGTGGCAGGATCCTGTTTTTCCCCTTCACAACAATCCTCTGAGGTTGGTTAGGCAGAAACTGAACTCTTGCCCCAAGGGTCATGTCCGTGAATTTCATGGCCTGAGTGGGGCTTGGAACCCAAGTCTCCACAGTTTGAGGGCAGCACCCTAAGCGCTACACCCCCTACGGCAGTGTACACCCCAAACCTTTTGACCCTGCGGGCATCTTTGGAGGAATGCTGACTCAGCATGGGGAGTGCAGCCACAAAATGGCTGCCTCAAGAGAGGCAGAAGTCAGCCACAAAATGGCTGCCGCAGCTTACCTTTAGTCACACAGTGAAGGTCCTTCTACTGTGGTGACAGCTGCTGCCAGGGCAGTGTTTCTAAAAATCTACACAGCCAATCCCACCTGGCCCTGCTGGCTTTCTAAAAACACTTGGCAGGAAAGGTAAAAGGTACCAGGAAATGTGTTGGCTGACACCGTGGTGAGAACGCAGGCCCTATAAATTCTCACAAGCATATTTACAGTCTGTTTACAGTAGGGTATAAAATCTGGCAGTGAGGAGACAGCCTGAATGGGGAGGAATTTGGAAAGCAGGCAACTGTTCTCCCTTGACCAAAGCACAAGGGGCCAAAGAAACCGATGAAGTACCTTGGGAAGAACCTTGAGGACCCTCTAGCTCTGACTTTGATAGCCACACAGGTGTTTTTTGGCTCTTAATTGGAAGATGTTCTAATACAGCAACTGTGCATTTGGCACCAGACACACGACTTTCACCTTTTGAGGCCTCACAAACATCTTTGTCATGTGTCTTTAGATTTTGCTGCTTAACTGTCCTCTTCCTGGTCCATTATTCACTTATTGGTTATCTTATTGCAATATGTATTTAAGTTACGTGTACCTCAATATCGTTTGACCTCTGAAGAAGGCCCCAATAGGGCAGAAACACGTCAGGTCATGTGTATTGGCCCTCGTGTTTAGGCTATAGTTTTTTTATGAGGCTTTCATTGGGCCCTTATGTATGTTTTTAACTGTCTTTCTAATAAACACTTGTATTTTTGGATGTTATAAGTTTTAACTAGGTTTTTAATATTGGCCCTTCGTTAGACTTTCTTCTCACCCTTTTTGTACCTTGGGAAGAACCTTTCAGAATGTTGGTGCCACTGTTGAGAAGGCCCTGCATATGAATCTGAGAATTTCGGGAGGAGCCTGTGAGAGGAGGCCCTCCGTGAAGGGTTCGGGGCCCAACCCACATTGGGTTTTGATGGCGCTTGCCAACACCATGAATTGAGTGTGAGAGTTCACTGCAGAGCCTGTCACACAAAGTGCACAAAGATAAGCCGCTACGTCTATGTAGGCCGCAAAATCCCGCCATTCTTGTCGCAGAATTTTTAACCTGAATCACAGATGATGCGTGCCTCTATTTGACTTGGATCCCTCGCCCCGTCAGGGTTCAGTAACGCTCCTCTGTCTTGCCCTTCCTGTGACAGGAACTGACAGGAAAGCTGCCCCCAGAGTACCCGCTGGAGCCAGGGGAAAGACCCCAGCCTGTGCGGAGGAGGCCGGCCCCTGCCTATCGGATCCCCGCTGCTCTAAAGAATGAGGTGAGTGGCCAGCACGGGGAGAGAGAAGAGGCCGGGAGGCTTCATACGGTGGGGCTGACATTCCCTCCTCTCTTGTAGGAAGCGTCTTCGCTGGAGGAGCTGGCCCAGGAGCTGGCGCTGCAGCAGCAAGTGGTCGAAGCGGCTCGGCGCCTGGCGGTGGCCCCAGAGTTGACGGCCGAGCAGCGTCGCCGTCGGAGGCAGGTCCAGGCAGACGCCGCCCAACGCCTTCGGGAGCTCGAGATCCAGGTGGTCGAGTGCCGGGTGCGGCTGAGCAAAGGAGCCCCTCAGAGAGGCAGCCACGGTGAGTCAGGTTGGGGCGCTGCGGTCCTTCTCTCTGAGGGTAACCGGCAACCTGTTTGCTCTGAACACGGCTGAAGAGGGCTTGAGTCCGAACTGAACGTGGAGGGCATTTAAAACGCCGGGAGGGGCCCATTGCATTTAGCATGGCCCTTTGTCTGATTTTACTCTCCAGTCCCCAAAAGAGGGACCGAATATTCCAGAGGACCCCAGTACAAGGATCGCTGTGTGACTGAGGGCTGGCTGCGGCAGCCATTTTGTGGCTGGCTTCCGCCTCCTCCGGCAGCCATTTTGTGGCTGAGCCCACCGTGCTGTGTCAGAATCCCAAAGGTGCCCGCAGGCTCAAAAGGGTTGGGGACCCCTGGAAAGGTCTTCAGTTCTGCTCTCCTACCTTCCCTTTTCTTCTTCTGTATTTCCCCCTCCCCCCATAACATACTGGATTATTCATGACAACTCCGACTTACATCTATGTAGTCTGGCAAGACTAGGGAGGCCAGCCTCCAGGGGGGACCTGGGGGATCCCTTGGAATTCTACCTCATCTCCAGACTACAGTGATCAGTTTCCCTGGAGAAAATGGGTGCTTTCGAGGTTGGGTGGACTCTGTGGCATTGTACCCCCACTGAGGTCCCTTTTTTGTATGTTATAAGTTTTAACTAGGTTTTTAATATTGGCCCTTCATTAGACTTTCTTCTCACCCTTTTTGTACCTTGGGAAGAACCTTTCAGAATGTTGGTGCCACTTTTGAGAAGGCCCTGCATATGAATCTGAGAATTTCAGGAGGAGCCTGTGAGAGGAGGCCCTCCGTGAAGTATTCGGGGCCCAATCCACATTGGGTTTTGATGGCGCTCCACCTCCCAAATCTCCAGGAATTTCCCAACCTGGAGCTGGCAACCCTAACCGCCCCATCCCCCTGCCGGTGGCCAGGGGGGACCTGGCAAACCTAGGCACAACCCAGCACTGCTGAGGGACCCCCATTTCCTGGAAATAGGAGGCTTGCTTACAGGAGTCCTCTTTTATATGTGTGAGGTGGGAATTCGGGACGCCGACCGCCCTCTCTTCCTGGTATTTTATGTGTCTAATCACCCGTTCTTGGCTTTTGACCCGTGCGTGTTCTTTCTCCCTCTCTCTCCTTCCTCTGCACCCCCCAACGGGGAAAAAAAAGATGAAGCTTTTCATTCGGAGAGCAGCTCCCTTTCAGAATCGGCCAGTCACGAAAATGGTAAGTGGCGGGGTCCAGTATACTGGGTTTTAGTTTTTCCGAGCAAGGAATGATGGGAAGGGGGAGCCACGAGTGGCCATGTGGAGGGAGGTGGCTGCGGACTCCACTGGCCTCTTTGTCAAAGTAGGGTGGCGGAAGGTTAAAACTTGCCCGGGGACCTAATTTTGAACCCGTGCTGAGAGAGACGGCGAGGCAGAAACCCTTCATACGCGCTCAGAGGCAGTCCCCTCTGCAGCCAGCCACGGATGCTGAAGGGTTTTGTGCCTGTTGGTGCGCGTGCTCTGGGAGCCGTGCAAACCCAGCTGTGGAAAGTAGGGTCCGAAAACAGAGTCCTGGTCCAAATGAAATGCGGGTCTGGAGTCAGGATCTTTGGGTCTCTTACATCTGGGAGAGTGGAATGAGGTCATGCCCGAGGGGCTTGGAGACTGGCCGTATCCGATTGGTCAGAGCAAATCCATGATGGCGAGAGAAACCCCTCTCTGTCCTTTGGATGTTCCTGAAACCTCCCTTGGACAAACAGCAACTGGCTTGGCGTCACCTGACTTTTCCCCCCTAAAAGGAGCAGTCAAGGGCAGTGTTCCCTCTAAGCTGAGTTAGTGTGAGCTAGCTCACAGTTTAATAGCCTCCGGCTCACACATTGTTTACCTTAGCTCAGGAAGGATGGCTCCAGAGCAAGCTCATTCGTGCAGGAGCCAAATCGCTCGCTCACAACTTTAACGTCGATAGCTCACAAAGTAGAATTTTTGCTCACAAGACTCCACAGCTTAGAGGGAACATTGGTCAAGGGAGTGGAATCCTTCTCGTTTTGTAAGAGAGCGCCAGTGTGGTGTAGCAGTCAGGGGAGAGCCGGGTTCAAATCCCAACGCAGCCGCGGAAGCCCATTGGGTGACCTTGGGCTAGTCACTCATGCTAAAAATCTCCAGCGGCCAATCAGAAGTCCTGCTGGGCAAAACCCCTCCTGGTCCTGCCCACTTGGCAGGTGCCGGGAAATGAGTCTGCGGACGCCACGGTGCCCATGGGCTTCAGGTGGGGGACCCGTGATATCAGGCATCGCTCATTTCCCACCCCACCATAACAATCCAGGAGCCGTTCTGTGACGCTACCGACTGCCTCCAGAAATCGTAGGCCTTTGGGAAGGGTGGAACCCCCAGTTGTTTGTGGTGTGCGTGTGTGGGTTTGTATTTTCTGCTGACGCAGGAGGAAGCAGGGGCTTCTCTCTGACGCATTGTGCTCTGTCCTCAGACGACCCTCACGGCTTCCACCCCTCCAGAGTCCCCAATCACCAGGGCCCCTTCCCTGACCGACCTTCGCCCCCGAAAGCCCGTGATCATTTACGGGCCATCTCCAGCAGTCCCGACAGACGCCCCGGGTGGCGGCTTCTGCAGCCGGATCTCTACAACGAGGCCAAGGACCGCAGGAACTCGGTCGCCAGCCCAAACAGGTGAGCGAGGAAAGCCCGTGGAGCGGGGGGGGCGCGTTCGACGGCTGCAGAGGAGGAGGAGGAGGAGATTGGATTTATACCCCGCCCTTCACTACCCGAAGGAGTCTCAGAGTGGCTTACAATCTCCGTTCCCTCCCCCTCCCCACAACAGACACCCTGTGAGGCGGGGGGTGGGGCTGAGAGAGCTCTCTCTTGAGGACTGCTCTTGACAGAAAATCTGAGAGAACTTGTGACTGACCCAAGGTCACACCAGCAGCTGCACGTGGAGGAGTGGGGGATCAAATCCGGCTCTCCCAGGTTACAGTCCGCGCTCCTAGCCACTGCACCAAACTGGACGGAGGTTTGCAGCTTCCCTCTTGCTCACCAGAGAGTCAACAGAGAGAGCCCAGAAAAAGCAAAGGTTTCGATTTGGGCGGCTTGGATTTCGAGGCGGTAGGAGGGAGATACCATATTTAAGGACGTGTGTAGTTAAGAAATGTATGTGTGACCTCTCTAGGGTCCTGTTTAAGGGGGCGTGCAAGTAAAAGCTATCGCATAACCTCATTGGTGATCCATATAGAAAGAAAACTAGTCTTTTAACGACAAGCGCGGAGCGTGAGAACCGCTTAAAACAACCACTGAATGTCTAAAAAACATCTTTATTTTTGGCAGCAGGGTATAGGGCTGCTGTTTACATGGGGAGGGGCCGTGGCTCAGTGGCAGAGCCTGTGCTGGGCATGCAGATCCCAGGTTCGATCCCCGGCATCCCCTGTTCAAAGGAGCAGGTAGCAGGTGATGTGAAAGACCTCAGTACTGACTTTTATGGACCGGGGATCTGATTCGGTGTAAGGCAGCTTCACGTGTTCATGCTTTCTGTGGGAGGGGCTGTGGTTCAGTGGCAGAGCCTCTGCTTGGCATGCAGAAGGTCGCAGGTTCAATCCCTGGCATCTCCAGTTAAAAGGACCGGGCAGGAGGTGATGGGAAAGACCTTTGCCTGAGACCCTGGCTCAGTGGCCGAAGGTCCCAGGTTCAATCCCCGGCATTTCCAGTTAAAAGGACCGGGCAGGAGGTGATGGGAAAGACCTTTGCCTGAGACCCTGGCTCAGTGGCCGAACGTCCCAGGTTCAATCCCCAGCATCTCCAGTTAAAAATACCGGGCAGGAGGTGATGGGAAAGACCTTGACCTGAGACCCTGGCTCAGTGGTAGAGCCTCTGCTTGGCATGCGGAAGGTCCCAGGTTCAATCCCCGGCATCTCCAGTTAAAAAGACCGGGCAGTAGGTGATGGGAAAGACCTTGACCTGAGACCCTGGCTCAGTGGCAAAGCCTCTGCTTGGCATGCGGAAGGTCCCAGGTTCAATCCCCGGCATCTCCAGTTAAAA